TCACTCGCCACGGAAATTACACACATCACGGAGAAACCTCACTCGCCACAGAAATTACACACATCATGGAGAAACCTCACTCGCCACAGAAATTACACACATTGCAGAGAAACCTCACTTGCCACAGAAATTATACATTGCGGAGAAACCTCACTTGCCACAGAAATTACACACATCGTGGAGAAACCTCACTTGCCACAGAAATTACACATATCGCAGAGAAACCTCACTCGCCACAGAAATTACACACATCACGGAGAAACCTCACTTGCCACAGAAATTATACATTGCGGAGAAACCTCACTTGCCACAGAAATTACACACATCACGGAGAAACCTCACTTGCCACAGAAATTACACCCATCGCGGAGAAACTTCACTTGCCACAGAAATTACACACATCACGGAGAAACCTCACTTGCCACAGAAATTACACACATTGCGGAGAAACCTCACTTGCCACAGAAATTACACACATCGCGGAGAAACCTCACTTGCCACAGAAATTACACACATTGCGGAGAAACCTCACTTGCCACAGAAATTACACACATCGCGGAGAAACCTCACTTGCCACAGAAATTACACATATCGCGGAGAAACCTCACTTGCCACAGGAATTACACATATCGCGGAGAAACCTCACTCGCCACAAGAAATTGCATTCGCCCGGCGGTACTAATTAGAAATTGGGGACTTACCACTGAAATGGGTCTTGTTTTTCAAGATTCTAGGAGTATAAATATCTGTCCGGGTAGCTGTTTTGAATAAATATGCTTCTATTAAATTAATTAAACTAAATTAAATTTAACCCACTGTAGGTACATAGAATGCTTGTCTTTATTTAATATAAATGTGGGTTGCAAAATTGTATATTGGTGTAATTATGAGTATTGATTTATTCAATACATGTGTATAAAAATGCTCAAACTTTTGAAGGCTCAGTGGCTTCCCTCTACCAAGTTTTAGGTCCAGTACATACTGGGTACACATGCCGTGCAGAAATAGAATTGCTTTATTGTCCATGCGCGAAGTAATGTGGGAGCGTCTATGGTACCCTCTAGCTGAGTTGAGATTGGTTCGACAAATACGCGTTCGCTTGTTCGCAATTACATGTTTCATCACGGATTTGCCTTGCATTTCCGCACTATTTCATTGCACGTTCGGATTATTTCATCTCACATTCACATAATTTCATTTCCTGTTCACGTTAATACATTTCGTTTAATTTCATCTCGTATTGGTATTGTTGCAAATCGTATTTCCATAGCAAGTGGGGATTTGCAGGTTCGAACAAGCGGATTAGAAAATTAAAAATAAAAATAGTCAAATCAAAAGTTCACATAGACAAATTGAATTTAAAAAAATGATGTATTAATTGTAGCATGAATACAACGTCATGTAATTGTATGCCTACATTTTCACACAAATTGCATACGTTGTATAACCTTACGAGATATTGTTCCGCTCAATGGGGCTTATATTCACCGTTGCCACAGTTGTAAAAAAACCGTTATTATGAAGCAAGATGGTGGCGATCGTTTATGTTTGTCTTGGATAGTGAGCTTCACATGTCTTGACTCCCATTTTCACAGTCGGGCGGATCTTTTTGACCCCTAATTTAGATTTTAACTAATTTCAGCTAATTTATGGCCATTTTTGAGAAAACGCCATTTTTTAGCCAAAAGCGCCCTCAACGCCGAGTTTTTTTGGATCCAGTTTTCACCTTCACCGATACATTCACATATGTATCGTTATCAAACGGTAAAATATTTTAGAAATTTGCGTGAGTTTTGTTTTATTTGTTTTCTGTTATCAAAATGGGAAAATGCAACACTAAACTGGGTAGAAAATATGGGTGGGAGAAATATCCGTACATACTAGGCTATACCACAGTATGGAGGGAATGTGGCTATATACATCTGTTATACCGTTTCTATGTTGTATTTAGTGTATATACTGAACGATCTGTAGATTTCAAATATTTTAATTATCAGTATACGATATTGTAATAACACCACTAGTATATTAATATTTTGACATGCATCAAATATGATATATATATACTGTGACAAAGTACAGTAGAACGCGATAAGCCGATGTTTTTATAGTAATATATAGATTAACGGACTTTCCCGGGTACTGCAATCCACAGCTGGCATTCCTACGTTTCCCATGTTGTTGAGTGACGAAGATGGAGTGGTTGGTCCGGTAATCATTTCCGTATCTTATATGCTTTTCCATTGGACACGATTTTTGTTTTAATTCGCATACACATTACGCACACTAATGACTACTGCCAGACAACTCCCTACGGATGACGAAAAACGACGTTTTATGAGAAGAGCAGTGGACCTTAGTTATATTGGAGCATTTGAGGAGAAACCTGGCACAACATGGCCATTTGCAGCGATCATAGTCAAAGCGGGCAAGATCATAGGTACGTGAGTGACAGTGTTTGGTTAAACATCCAACAACAAGGGAAGTATGTACACGATTCGCTTTTGCCAGTCTCGTGGCAGGAAGGATTTGGAAAATAGGTCAAATCGGATGAATCATAAAACTGTTGTTTATATTTTCAGAACACGTAAAATTTGAAAGCATCCTTGTCACAACGGGCAGGTACAATGTACATACTAAATGATGACGAGATCACATTGGGTGAGATTAGTGCCAAAAACTCAAATCAATATTTGTTTAAGTTTTTATTTTTATTTTAATTTCGAACTTTTATCATATTTATATTTTTCATTCCATTATTACGACATTATATTATCATTATTTTGGTAATTAGCACGCTATAGTTTACATTATTGTTTCATCATATGAACTTCTATATCGCATGTGTGTATGATTTCCATATTTTAAAATTGTCTGCTAATTATTAAATGTCACCTATCACAAATTGTAGTCAATGCATGTATGTTTCATACCACATTAGGTGGTTAAGGTGCACACTCAATATTTTTTACTGTAATTAGTGACTTAATTAGTGTCTGCTAGCAAATTGATAGAGGCAGTTCTACCATAATTATGATTTCCATATTTTAAAATTGTCTGCTAATTATTAAATGTCACCTATCACAAATTGTAGTCAATGCATGTATGTTTCATACCACATAGGTGGTTAAGATGCACACTCAATATTTTTACTGTAATTAGTGACTTAATTAGTGTCTGCTTAGCAAATAGATAGAGCAGTTCTACCACAATTATGATTTCCATATTTTAAAATTGTCTGCTAATTATTAAATGTCACCTATCACAAATTGTAGTCAATACATGTAAGTTTCATACCACATAAGTGGTTAAGGTGCACACTCGATATTTTTACTGTAATTTGTGACTTAATTAGTGTCTGTTAGCAAAAAG